CTACTTTTAGGAATGGTTGCTTCATTACCTCTCTTTTATCCTATTTTGATTGTTTGTCTTTTTCTCAATTAAATTTATTTTATTGTTCAATCATTTGAGATTATTCAGAATCTGATGAATTGGATCTTGGTCGCTTTCACTTTCAGGATAAGGACTTTCAAATCTGTTGTGTATTCTTTGTCTATTGTGATAATTAACAGGTTTTCTGTTACTACCAGTAGCAAAGTATTTAGAAGTCTCTGTTTTGTTGACAATGAGCTTGTTGCCTTAAAGCTTGATATACTTGATAATAAGGTTAGGTTATAATAAAATTGGTTTATAATATTTAAAATGTTAATAGATCTTAGAATTTTATATAAAAAATCTTCAGTATTATTAATACTAAGTATTTTAAATGCAATCTTGATTATATTGGATTTGTAATAGTAATAAAAAATGATTTGGACCATTGATAGATCCCTCAATAGTTTAAATTTTTCTTTGCAAAAATAAAAATCCTAGGGTTGATTTATTTAAAGAGAAAGTTTATACTAAATGGTTATCTACTTTTTCTATTCTATTTAAATGAGACTTTTAGATAGTTTACCCTCTACAACTATCCCGTAATATGAAATTGTATTCATTCCAGTTGTCCCTAATTATAACATTAATAATTTACTTTTAATTTTTTGAATGATTTTTATTAATAAACCTAATTCTTATTGAATTATCATAACAAAAATTGCAATTTTGTATACAAAACATAATCACCTAATTTGATGTTAGACTAATTTTCAAACACATTTATTAATACTGTATTCGAGCATTTGTTTCCAGACAACCTCACATACAGTATATCAACACATCAACTCATTTATATATTTGAAATTACATTAATACCACCATTCCGATTATTTCCACGTTGTTTATGTTCAATATGTTCTGCTGACCATAAACTAATCCCCAATTGATCGTGTTCGAATGGTTGTGCCATTGATCGCAAGAATTTTTTAGCTATTACCAAGGACATATCAGTTGATAAATTTGTCGCGGTCTCTGTTATATACTGATTTATCCATTTTGGCAATTTGTTCCGTTTATCCAATCTACCAAACCTCTATCATACCATGGAAAAAATAAAGGTTTAAAGGAGCTTAAAGTCTTGCCGTTAATCATGGGTGAAGAAAAAAATCTTACTTTATCAGCAAAAATCATAAGTCCATAATCAGTCTTTCCTCTCAACACTCTCCCAACACACTGGGCAGCATGACGCATCGCATCGAACGTTAAAAAGTCGCTCTCGCGAATCTTATGATTCTCTCTCAAGAATTCCAGTCTGGCCTGAAATTTAAAGTCAACTCACTTTACATCTCCGAAGATATCGAAAAAAAAATTTTGGGGGGGAAGACAAAAACACACCTTTAATATTCTACTTTCCGTGTACTGATAGGGAACACCAAACATAATAACCGCACGACCATAATTGTGGTCGAAATCTATACCTTCTGAGACTTTACCACGTGCGACGGATAATAAGATAGCCCCGCGACCATTGTCACAAGCCTAATTCAGGGATCAAGTTATAGATTCAAAGAGCTTTCCAAGAAAACGGTGGTGACAAGATCAATACCTTTCTATAATTCGCTAATGCCAAACTCGTCTCAGCTGCATCTGGGGTTTCAACGAAGATTAGTTTATGTTTCCACGCTTCATTCAGTATTCCCTAAAAAAGTAGAAAATTTAGTATGTGCGAAAATGTTAAAATAACATTAAGCCAGTATGAAATCAACGGGAATAAAAGTATATCACCATATCGTTCCACATAGCAACTATCGATTCCATATACAAATAACTCGGAAAAAATGCGACTATCCCATCAGGCACAATCTTGGAAAATTCTACAAGAATTTGCCCAAAATTTCGAACTACCGCAGGATCGTTCCTGACCTCAAATTTTGAACTGATTGCTACTTGATCGCTACCTCTCGTGATTATCTGAATGGTGATATGTACACATAGAATACAATGTTAGATATGTTATGATGGACATCACGGTAAGACGGTAATAGCAAACTCCTCGCACCAAGGGCAAGAAACAATTTCTCATCAGAGTCATGGTATAGCTTTCCTGAACGGCCGCCGTAAAAGATAGCATTTTTGGATACATATCGAGAGGAGATAATGTACCTGATGTAATGACTACTGTTTTGAACCTTTGAAAGACAGGTCTTATTGCAATCGACGCGTCAAGACATCTACGCAATCGATCAAAATTCGAGATAAATAATTGATGCCTCATAAAGTTCAACCTCATTAATTAGCCATTAGATGCACTAACGTATAGTGAAATATGGGATTAGGTATGACGTCGTTTTCGAATGGTTCCAGAATTAACAGGAACCCTGAAATAGAAAACATTGTGAACGATCCTGGCAAAATAGAAGACGCGAAAGACTAACGATTCACCGTACCAGTATCATAAGTAGCAACGAGGGTAGCGAATGCCGCGACTTTGTGTAACGCATAATATTCGTCCAGATCAGTTAGTTCCAAGGTGCGAACCAAAGACATCAACCTTTGACTACAAAATCTTATTAAAATAAAATCTTTGTCAAAATAAATTATCAAAGTAACCATAATGATGACCATTAGCACTTAATAACACCGATTACCTTAGAGGCTTTCGTTCGATATAAGTTACTTCTTTGCAATGTTGAAGAAACGATAACGGAGTCTCGGCGACCACGTGTTGAGCTCGCATTCTAGTCTTAATAAAAGACGAGTGAAGAGGAGGAATGCGAAAAACTCTAGTCTACACTCCGTCGGCAAATAATATTGTGTGGATTTCTTACTTTAAGATATTCTATAAAGCGTCTCATAAAATTCACAAAATGTTCGGCTTTACGAATATTCCCCGGTACAGCCTCCTTCAGCAAATCATCGGGTAAGACTTGGAGTTTAAGAATTTAGTGGTCAACAGATGAAATTAAATTAAATTTGAATCCGATGCAATAACTGATAAACTACCGGGATTTGCCATAAAGATATCCTCGTCACGAGCCTGACTGGCAGCCTTCAATCCTCCAAATCAGAATCATAGGAGTGTCAGCGACTGCATTTTCGATTATATTTCACGGCAAGAAATCGATTATAACAATAAACCTTCAACCAATTTTTTATATTCCTCATCTAATTTATCCTTATCTCGTTCTTTAAATCTGTTGCAACCATTTTAATCATATCGATCATGAGTAAAAAAAAAAAAAAAAAAAAAAAAAAAAAGTAAATTCATATGGGTCTAATTAGTATACTCAGAATAATTTATAATTACGATCATACTCTTCAACTCTTCTCGAAAGCTCAGCCACACTTCTCGCACTTGCGTCCAAGTTTGGTTTTGTTAAGTCAATACTCAGTGATTCGATGCACACATTATCTAAATATTAAGTACTTAAATTGATTGCCATATATGATAATAAGTTCATCCAAGAAAATCACAAACCTATATTATGTGCTTCATCAAATACAATTATGCAATCTTTAGATAACTCTTTTGAGACCAACTCGGCAACTTTGGGATCCAGTAGATAGTGATAACTGTAAATCACCACATTGGCAAAAGGAATCTGTAAAATGTCAAAAAAATTATTTATTTTTAATTCCATCGAGCAAGGCACAAAAGCTTGATAAAATAATAATGACCATTTTTCTTGCTAAATAATAGGGACAATATTCGTTTTCTTTGCAATACTCTCGCAAATCTTCAAGGGTATACACTCCATCTGGCAACAGATCTGCCAAGTCCGTTTTTTCCAGTTGCTAAAATCTCAAAAATTAGACCAGAATTTTTAAAAATCGGGTGCCAAGTTTAATTTACCTCATAAAAGTTGCACAGCGGAACTTCTTCCCTTGTGTATACTTTGGATTTTTCTCTCACCCAAGATGAAGTAAGATTTCTGCATTTGGCGTCCAGTACCTTTCCCCATTTTTCTTGACTAACCTTATAAAAGATCATGTGATTATTAGGACGAATTAAATCATTGGATCCGGGGATAAGGTACCTTTGGGTGTACACAAAGATTCTTTCGAGAAGTTAGTCCAAGTCCTAGGAATCTTTCATTTTGCCCGCAAGATTCACGATATTCCATAAGGTTTTGTAATTCCGCCAAGGCCTTTTCTATCTCCGGTACTGTTCGTGAACAATAAATCAACTTTCGTTTTTCTGGGAAATGCTTTAAAGAATTGTTGGAAATACATTATGTCGTTCATAATGACTTTTTATGATTCTGGCGAATTAATAATGAAAACAGTACCATTTGATATGCCACAATCAATGACAATAATGATACTGTTTTTCCAGTACCAGAAGGCATTTCTAGAAGGCAATGTCCCTATTAACGAAATTAAGAAAATTTGTTAATCGCCATTCGCCTCGCTTACTAAAGTAATGATGATAATGACTTACACCAGCATCAATTGCCTTCTTCAAATCTACCATGTATGCATATTGCTCTGGGTATATTTTATCATAGGGAAAAATTATTGGTAAATTATCTATGTTAAACCTGAAGAGGACGAAAATGTATTAATTATGTAAGAACGCGTAAGGTTTAAAGAAAGTTTATCTAACCGACCTCATTTTTTTTCGGATATTCGTGAAGCGAGCCAAACTAATTACGTAGAAGTTTAAGGCAGATTTTTTAATTCATGTGATAACCCCGATGATCAAATTCCCAACCCATTCAAAGCGCGAGATCTGCCGATCTTTTTCAGATAACAGCGATGACTGTCCCAAGAGGTATTACTATAAGTTTTCTGATTCGGAACGCCGTTGTGTACATTTCGGTCCTTACGCATACATTTCTTTTTAGATTTCTGCATTTTTCGAAATAAAAATTTGACGCGTTTTCTATTAAGGGCTCAAACATGTACTGTCCTATGTTACATGTTTTAACGTTTTTTCCTTTCCAATAAAAAGAATAATGCCTCATATTAAATGTAGTTTCAACAAAACCCGACAAATCTGTAATTGGCTCCAACTTCGCTTTCAAAAAGGAACCTCCACACGCCCCCCAAAAAGAAAAAACAAGATATGGACACGATTTCTCTCCACAAGCAGTTTATCTTTTTAACATGTATTATTCACAACTTCACTTTAACCGATTGTTATTCATAGCTCAACACAATAATCTCAGCGTACAAGAACAATCATTAATTCGTCGAGAATTAAAAAACTTGGGAGCGGATCTAACAGCCGTACGCGGATCAATCCTACGTGCCGTCATCAAGCAGTCTATTATCTATCAACATATGACGCCTCTAGTTATTGGTCCGGTCTGTATGATTTCTTCCAACGTCTGTGATGAGGAAAATCCGAAATTAATCGCCGATATTCTGAATGTCCTCAACAAGCAAAAAAAACTACTATTAATTGGCGGAAAACTGGACAATAGCCTATTAAATTTAGACGACATTAAACAAGCAGCCAAACTACCCGGCAAGAAACAACTGAGATCTGAAGTAGTTGGAGTCTTGTCCTCGCCTGCCTCAAAGATAGTCGACATATTGGAAAGAAGTCCAAAGAATTTAGTGCGTTCATTGGAAAATCATAAAGACAATCTCAAAGGAGGAAACAAGAAAAATTAAATAATAATTTCACCCTACCTTTTATACACACAAGGACTCTGTCTTCGAGAAGAAACGATTTTACCCCAACGTTATATAAATGCCTTTTGCGCATAAGGAAGGGTGAAATTTATATAAAACACGTAAAGAACCATTGCACGACACGATTTGGATTTTATTAAATAGAAAAATATTCACTTTTATATATAATATTTGATTCCAAATTATACTATTTATTATGCCATAAGAAATTTTTGAGTGTGGACCAATGATCCGAGTCTAAATATAAGTATTGCATGGAAGCTTGTAAAGATGGTTGCAAGACACCACGCTCATGGCGAAAAAGCCACATGACAACTCCCCATACGACAGCAGCAAACACTGGAAAGGTGTGATTTGGCTCTTCGATTGCCCTGCGTGCCACTGGCAGTTTAGCCAAGCCGATCATAATTCTCGCAAAGACGTAAAGCACAATCTAGTTAAGGATGTTATTTTTAAGATACGTCGCAAAGTTTAGCGTACAGCTGAAAACATCTTGAATCTTACCTGTTGATTAATATTGTTATTCTCTCCGAAAACATAATATCCTCCGATTAGTCCGGCTATGAAAGAGTGACTATCATGTTCCTTACCACCATAAATGCACGAGTCAAATTTGATTTCAAATATACAGTACGTACTTTTTTGCACTTGGAGAGATTCTGTAATAATTATTATCTTATTAAAATATTGCCTAGTTTAGATTTTTATTTATAATATTTAATTATGTAAGAATCTATCAAGATGCATCAGTTTTCGTCAATAACCAAAAGGGTTATTATAGCATGCACAAAACTTCAAGTGCTTCACGGTTTCACGGTTGGA